AAACACAGCATGGAAAATCAGGGTTTTGGCACCTGAATTGGCTTCAAACCAGAGATCTATCAAGTCTTACTTTTCCAGAGTATTTAAGGTACGTTCTTGTCCTCCTCCCACCTGTGATAAATCTGCCCTGCATTCTTTCCTTTCCATGGACAGATCCTTCCTTCTTCATCTCAGTTTTTGCCTGTGGGGTTTGTCCAGGAAAATGAGGATTTGCTGTTCACCTGCTGGGAACCCCCGATGTGTGGAGACGCGAGGCTTGACTCCATGTTTCAGAAGGTTGGTTTGTTATATTATTATATATATTACATTAAAATACTACATTAAAACTATACTAAAAGAACAGAGAGAAAAGATTCATCAGACAGCTAGAAAGAACAAGAATAGAATGCATAACAAAATCTTGTGACTCTCAGAGTCTGATGCAGCTGCATCTGTGATTGGCTTTTAATTAGAAACAACTAACATGCACCAATCACAAATGTACCTGTTGAATTCTACAGCAGCAGATAGTTATTGTTTACATTTCTTTCCTGAGGCCCTCAGCTCCTCAGGAGAGAAAAATCCTAGCAAAGGATTTTTCATAAAATATCATAGTGACAGTTCACCAGATGAACTGGATGATTGAGGGTCCCTTCCAACCCAAACCATTCCCTGATTCACTGTGACAGCTGCTGGACAGGAGAGACAGGGAACATCTCTGGTCATGCAGGCACCAGTGCCAGGCTGGTGTCCACCTGCACCAGCTGGTTTCGTGACTGAAACCCAAGCAAGTATGTATTGAGATGAATAAAAACAAAATGTCAAAAAAGCAAATAATGTCACAAGTTTTTAGAGAGGAGCCTGGAGGTTGTCACCTAGGGGTGACCCACGCTGGCTACCCCTGGGGTTTTCCTTTTGGGAAGATGCTGTGGGAAAAGGAGAGCATTAGAACCAAAGAGCACCCGCCCTGCCCTCTGAGGGAGGGGATGTCCCCAAGTGGTTCCTGGCACACAGCAGCACCCAGGGGGAGCGGGGGATGTGTCCCCTCCCTGCCGTGGAGGCAGAGGTGCTGCAGGGCTCTAACAGAGCTCCTCTGTGCGGAGGTTCCAGCGCTCAGCCCCTCTGAGCCCTCCCCGTCCTCCCGTGCTCGGAGGAGCCTGTCACCAGTTTCTCGGGCCCCCAGCTCGGTGCTGTCCTTGGTGCCAGCATTCCCAGGGACAGGCAGCCCTGGCAGCAGCAGCACGCCGGGATGAAGAGCCCCAAGGCCGGGTGATGCCTGTTCCCCTTTGCCCTCTCCTTGCCCCCTCCCAGCCCCGTGGCCTTGAGGCCTCTGGGGCTGCTGGGGCTGGGCTGTTCCCGGGCAGGCCGGGGCTGTTGGCACAGCCGGGCTGGGTCTCGGTGCTCACCGAGCCCTGCGAGCTCCCACGCAGCAGAGCCAGGAAGCAGCTGGCTTTCCCCTGGGAGATGGAGGTTGTGACTTGCTGCAGACTCATGGAATCACAGCATCATTAAAGTTGGAAAAGCCCTCAGCATCAAGTCCAACCATTCTCCCACCACTGACCCCTGTCCCCAGGTGCCACATCCACATGGCTGCAAAATCCCTCCAGGGATGGGGACTCCAGCTCTGCCCTGGGCAGCTGTGCCAGTGCCTGACCACCCTTTGCATGTAAGAATTTTCCCAAAATCCACCCCAAGCCTGCCCTGGCCCAGCCTGAGGCCGTTCCCTCCGCTCCCGTCCCTGTTCCCTGGAGCAGAGCCCAACCCCCCCGGCTGTCCCCTCCTGGCAGGAGCTGTGCAGAGCCACAAGGTCCCCCCTGAGCCTCCTTTTCTCCAGGCTGAGCCCCTTTCCAGCTGCCTCAGCCTCTGCTGGGGTTCCAGCCCCTTCCCAGCTCTGTTCCCTGCCCTGGACCCTCTCCAGCCCCTCCAGGTCTCTCTTGTCATAAAGGGCCCAGAACTGGACACAGGATTTCAGTTCTGGCCTCAGCAGACAGATTAGGACCAAACTCACACACTCTGGTCTCAGTGCCCTGATAGCCCCAGGGACATTTTCCTGTGCCACAGCTGCCCACAGCTGGCTGTGTCCCTCTGCACTCCTGCTCCTGCCACCCAGCTCCAGCCTGGAGCTCTCAGAGCCAGCCCAGCACCTCCAGCCCTCCCGTTTTCCTTGTTGGGTCCTTTAGCTCAGAGCTTACACCAACCCCACTACACTCATCCCTTCAGCCAGCTCTGTACTGCAGGGACTCCCTGGTTTTGCTGTGCCCTGCCTGGGCCTTCCTGACAGGCTCTGGGGGCCAGGGAAGTGCAAACTCCTTCCCAGCTGTTCAGGACACAGACACCATCATCTCACTGACAGCGTGACATGGGAATGAGGGAACAGCAGCCAAAGCTGCAGGAGGGATGTGGCCAGGGATCAGTTGGCCCTGTACAGTCCTCCAGGGCTTGGTGTGGTGCCAGAGCTCCAAGTTCCCACCAGAGCACAAGGTAAAGCTACAGCCAAAGGACCGAGGCAGGAGGGGACTGTCCCTGCGCTGACAGGATGGGGTGCTGTTGCCTGCGGCAAGGCTTCATTGTGTGCTTCTGCTCTTTCACCAACATTTCACAATCAGTTTAAATCATGCCCTTCCTTGATGTCCCTTCCCAGGTCCCACACAGGGATAGGTCATAGCAGGAACAGAGAAATTATTTGGGCAAACCAGGCTGGGGTGTATCATGGTTTTCCAAGCAGATCAGCCAGCCAGCTCCTACGCTCTGAGCTGTGCTTCCCTTTGCTGCAGAGGAGTGGGATTCAGCACCTGGAGAGGGGTTTGGGTGGTGGGTGAGGCCAGCTGGGCCCAGGGAAGTCGCTGACCCTCAGGTATCTGTCACAGTCCTGCTGTTGGAACTGTTGGAACAGCTGGACTCAAACGGTGGGGGACAGTGTGCCCAGGCTGTACCAGGGGCTCCCGGCTCTCCCTCCCCTGCTCGGACATGCCCCACATAATTTGGATTCTTGGGCCCCTCTGGCTCAGGCAGTGATGCAGTCTGGTGGGTTTGAGGGCAGAGAATTGTTTGAGAATAGATCTGAGGCTTTTCTACATCCTGGATGAGGTGGGATTGACGCAGGTTTGGTGATGCTTCATCCAGCTCCCGAAGTGACCCAGTTTTCTTCCTGGCTGAAGAGCTGCTGCTGGCCTGGAGCAGTGAGGAGCTGCAGGACGAGTCAGGGCTGCTCTGGACATGTGTCATCACCCCCATCTCCTCCTGCAAGACGGCAATGTCTGTAATTATCCAGATCCAGGAGGGAGCAGCAGTGATCCACAGTTTTCCCTATTTTAGAGGAGGTTTGGATGCGACCCACAGCTCCACCCCTTTCCTTCCTCTATCCCTGGATGTTACAAGGACTTGCTGTCCCTTCAAGGAGGCTGTGCACACTGGATATAGGGCACTCTGGTGACAGTCACTGGCCAGTTGATGCCATCTCCAGGTGATGGTTGTCAGGAAGTCCAAGTCTGCCCTTCTTGGAGAGCAGCAGCACATTTCAAACAAAGCAGTCAGGACACTCTTCAACTTTGGAAAGACATCCTTTTCATGATGGGTTTCATTCCAAAATATCTGCAGTGCATGTGGAAGCCTTTCAGGAGGGTCAGGGATCCCTTCTGGAGTCCTTGTCAAGAAAAGCAGCAGCTCTCCATGTCTCAAGGGCTCTTCTCTGTTATGTGATGAGCTCCATGAGGACACATCCAACTGACAGCACACACCTCTGCAGCCTCAAATCACAGCTCTGCTGTGCTTTCGATCATAGTGCAGCCAGGAAATCATGGATCTTCTGGATTTAGATCCAGTGTGATCCCAGCTGCCGAATTAGAGCTTGAGAAGGTGTTCCTGGGCAGGTCCGTGCTTTCCCTGGAGGCTACATGGCAGCCTGGCCCAGACTCGCAGCTCCAGCTGCCCCTTCCTCCCACAGCGGGCTGGGCATGTCCCAGCTTGGGGTGTACCCAAACCCAGAGTCACTGTCACGCTCAATCCCATTCTGGATTCGAGTCAGTCCTTTGGCTGAGCCACTCAGGGCAGGAGGGAACCCGCATGGAGGTCACTGCTCTGGTAATGAGCTGGAGGAAAATGACTTGGGGTGCTGGAGATGGTACCAGGTATGCCCAGGTGGGCAGGAAGGCCATGTCCCCTTGTCTATCCTCGCCAGTGCCACACCAGAAAGCCCAGTCCTGGTGGTCCCACTACATCTCCCACCACCAGCCTGTCATTTGTTTGGTGTAGGGAAGCAGTTAGGAATGGGTGAGCAGAATTATTCCTGGACTTGGACACTCCCTGCTCAGAAATACAGGAGCTGCTCATGCCAGGTAAGGCTGGGACCTGGGATAAGGCTGTCTGTGAGGGCATGGCCACCCCACCACTGTGCTGTGCCAGCTCGAGGCACAGAGCCGGCAGCTCAGCATTTTGCCATGTTTCCTGCTGGAAACCAAACCCTCCTGTCCCGAGAGCACCCATCACTGCCTGGGCACAGGTGAGGGCACGGCTGCAGGGCAGCGTTCAGAGCCATCATGTTCCTTGCAGACGTCAGTTAGTCACAGGTAAGCAATTAACTCAGCCTGTACAACATCAGCATCTTCATCAGCTGAGGTTCATTATCACTTTTATGGCCCCGTAAAACCAGCCACGTTAACAGTGCGGCTTAGGGGAACTCTCTTGTGTTTTGACGTTTCAAAACAGACCCCTCGGGCCTCCTGGACACCCACTGGGCTGACCCGCGCCTGGCAGACGTTATCTCGGAGGGATAAAACTTATTCTCCGGGTTACTCGTCGTGCCTTCAGGAATACAGATCTGGGCATCCGGGAAGAACGAGCCGCCACCTCCCCCTCATCCCTCACAGCCCCGCCAGCGCCATGACACACCCCAACACCCGGCAGTGGCGCCGCGGGGCTCCTCATTGGACAGCGGCGCTGCCAATCAAGCGGCAGGAGGCATGGCCAGCACAGCTCTGGGTAAACAGCCGGGAAAGGCCCCGCCCCCTCGGGTCGCCTGGCAACGGGAGGCGCTGACGGCGGGATCGGGATCGGACCGGGATTGGCACCGGGATCGGACCCGGATTGCAACCGGGATCGGACCCGGATTGCAACCGAGTGCGCTGCTGGGGTGGAGGCCGCCTGGGGACGGCATCCCCCGGTAACCGACTCCTGAGACACCCCGTCCCGCCCCCGGGATGCCCAGGGCCGCTGGTCCCACGGACCCCCGGCCCCTCCCGCCCCGGCCCCTCGCACGGGGGTCTCCCCACCGGGAATCACCGCCCCGACCTCTGACTGTTCCCCAGCCTCTGGGTCCTCCTGCTGTCCCACACCCACACCCAGGGGACCCTTCACTCCCTGTCGGCCCCTCCGCTACAGCTGTCCCCATCTCCTCCCTCCCTCTCTCCTCCTCTTGCCTCTGTCCCTGGCAGTCCTTCCAGATCCCCTCTCCCACCTCCGCGCTCTGACAGGGACAGGCCTAGAAGGGTAGAGCTTTTCCATGGAGGTTTCCCACTAGGAACCCTACCCTTCCCTCCAGGGTGGCCCCAGGGCTCTCCAGACCCCTCTGGGGACTGCAGAGCTGCAGCTTGTGCTGCTCTACCTCAGCTGCTGCTCAGAAGCTGTTGGGAGTTTTCTCCCCACCACCCTTCAAAGCCAGGAATCCATCACCCCCTTCCCATGGGTGTTTGACAGCTGCTCTGGGACAGAGACAAGCTCTAATCCACAACCCCATGTCCTGACCCCCTGCCCAGGCTCAGAGAGAACTCCAGCAGAATTTCAGACTCTCATGTTTTCCCAAATTACATAATTTCTCTAATGCTGTCACTGTGTTTTCTGTTTAGAGAGAAAATCCAAGAAGGAAGATTATGTGACAGCAGCAGCACAGGGACCTCCATTTTCTTGCAGAGTCTCACCTTGTGTAAGAGCTGCCGCGTCCTTGCTAGACCTCAAACCACCCAGGCCACTGGTGTTTAGCTGAATCCATGGCAACAGGGAATCCAGCTGCATTCCAGGCATCCTCATGAAGCAAAGAACCTTGCTGAAGGGCATGGCAGCTCCAAGGAAGGTAGGGATCCCATTAAGTGTCATGAAGGTGTTAGATCCACGCCAGCTAAAGCCTGATAGCACGGAGACAGAAAGAATCCTAACTGTCTTGGATGAGACCATTGTCAAGCTGGAGATCACCAGGCTGATCCCACGGATTATTGGCTCCCTGGACAGGTATGCTAGGATGCTGGGACCTGAGATCACAAGCGGCCTTTTGGAGCATCAGAAGCTTTCAATGGAAATACAGCACCTGCTCACCAGCCCTGGAGATGCGAAGAGCATGAGGGCTGCAGTGCAACACATGAAATGTTCCCTGAGAAACATCCTGAGGCTCTTCCTGGCCAACCCCTTGCTTTACCATGGGCTGAAATATGAAATTTGGGTGAGAGAGTCACCAGCTGATGTGTTTATCAAAGCCTTCATGGAGTTCCGGGATTTCATGCTTGAGAGGCTCCTGACCACTCCTGATGAGGAGAAGGAAATGATTGAATTCATGAACGAAATTTCCCTCCAGGTTGAGAAAAACACAGAAATTATCTCAGCTCTACAGGGAGAGCTGGCAGGAGTCATCCAGACTCGAGATGAAGAGGTATGACCTTGTGGGAATGAGTTTTCCAACCAAGTGGAAACTTGCTTTTTACTGGAGCAAAACCTTGCTAACTATAAACCGATCCCTTTATTGCAGTTCCTAAAGAGCAAGTTCCAGAAATCCTTTCAAAACCAGATCTAAAACTTAAAAATAATATTTTTATTGTAAAATATAATGAAAAATGCATATTGCATGCTTGATTTTTTTTTTAATTCGGATTTGGCATGTTTTGAACCTGTTGTCACCAGCCAACTTAAACAATATAAGTCCCTGAGTTCCAGAGGAGTGGCAGGACAGGCACAAACTGCTGTGGTAGTATCCTGGCAGGGTGACAATGCCAGCTGCTTCATTCCCTGCTGCTGAAAGAATGAAAAATCATTACAGGGAGAGATTGCTCTGATTAAAATCCATTTTTAATATTTGCTCTGTCTTCACTCTTGCTTAAAACCAACATTTCTGTGACTCCCGACTCTAACAGCTGCCTTGGAGCATTTGTGATTAATCAGTGATTTTACAAATTACATGAATCTTTAATTTTATCTGCAGCTGAGGTGCAGATAATTGATTGGGCACTTCCCAGGCACTTTCCCAGCCTGTGTACCAAGCCCAGAGCTTCTGACAACAATCCTTTGTTTTCTACCTGGGTTTCTCTTTCTCCTCCCTGCAAGAGGGGTTGGCTGAGAAGGTTTTGCCCTGTGCTCACTGCTGGCAGAGCCAAGGGCCTGCTTTCCCATTTCCCTCTGCTCCTTAGAGTTCTGGGAATTGAGATTTTTATGTGCAATTTGGCAGCTTGTCCAGGACATGGTGAATAAATCTGTTTCACTAATCCCAGCTGGGGATTTCCCTCCTGAGCTGTGTCCCCCAGTCAGTCAGTCAGAGCCTGATCCAGCCCTTGAGGAGCCACACGGCTACTCCAGGGAATCTGTTTTGGCTGCTCCTCAGGCGGCAGTGCCATTGGGGCTTGGGATGGTTTGTTCACGCTGTGCCTTTACTAACAGGTTCCCAGAGGAGCCAGGGGAAGGTTTCCAAAGCTCCTGTGTAAATCTAACTCTTCCCTCAGCCGACAGGTGCTACCTGAGCTGGCCCCTAGGGGTCCCTTCTTGGACCTCCTCCAGCTGTGCAATGTTTTTTCTTCTCCTGCCCACCTTATGCCTCAGGGGCATGTCCCAAAGCTATTCATCTTGTTTTCTGGTCTAGGTTAGCAGGAAGGACAAAACAATTGAAAAGCTCAAAACTAGCATGGAAGATCTGGCCAAGAACTGCAAGGCTGACATCCGGCTGATCATGGAGGAAGGGGAAAAGCAGCAAAAAGAAGATAAGGAAGCTTCCCAGGAGAGGTGTGCCAGGCTGAAGCAGGACATTCAGCACCTGGGAACACAGTTCAGTGCACTGGTGCTGGAGCATCGAGCCTCAGAGCTGGTTCTCAGGAAGGTAAAGGGGAGGAGAGCTCTGGGACAGGAGGTTTAAGACTTTTTGTAGAGCTGTCAGCTCTGGCTGCTGCCTGCTGCAAGGAGTTCCTTGGTCCCTGCTTGTTCCTGGCAGGATGCACATGGTGTTTGTCAAAGCACACCCGCCCTGTCCTCACGCTCTGCTGATTCCAGTGGAAAGCAGCCCTGCAGCGACAGCAGGGACAGAGCTGTCACAGGTCCTGCTCCTGCTGGCTGCCTTGGCTCTGGGAACACCTTCCCATGTGCTGTGACACCGGGCAGGGCTCAGGGCAGCGAGGCTGGAGCACGACACGTGTACGATAGTGACAAACCAGGGATCTGCTGTAGGGGGAGCAGAGCAAACAATATTGCCTTGGTAGAAGGCATCTTTTAGAGCTGGAATGGAGCTGATGCTGAGGGCTCAGCAGTTCCTGCTCTGCCCAGCTTGGCAGAACAGACAAGCCAAGGAGTCAGGCTGGGCTGAATGAGGGGGAAAGGTAATTTCATAGAATCATCCCAGAAGAGCCATAAAGCCCATCCCATTTCACCCTCTGCCATGGCAGAGACACCTCCCACTGTCCCAGGCTGCTCCCAGCCCCAGTGTCCAGCCTGGCCTTGGGCACTGCCAGGGATCCAGGGGCAGCCCCAGCTGCTCTGGGCACCCTGTGCCAGGGCCTGCCCACCCTGCCAGGGAACAATTCCTAATTCCCAATATCCCATCCATCCCTTCCCTCTGGCAGTGGGAAGCCATTCCCTGTGTCCTGTCCCTCCATGCCTTGTCCCCAGTCCCTCTGCAGCTCTCCTGGAGCCCCTTCAGGCCCTGCAAGGGGCTCTGAGCTCTCCCTGGAGCCTTCTCCTCTCCAGGTGAGCACCCCCAACCCTCCAGCCTGGCTCCAGAGCAGAGGGACTCCAGCCCTTGCAGCATCTCTGGTGCCTCCTCTGGACTCTCCAGCAGCTCCAGGTCCCTCCTGTGCTGGGCCCAGGGCTGGGGCAGCTCTGCAGGTGAGGCAGAGGAGCAGAATCCCCCCTCCCCTGCTGCCCCACTGGGGGCTCAGCCCAGGGCTGAGGGGGTTTCAGGGCTGGGGCAGGTGCAGCCCTCACTCACCAGCACCCCAAAGTCCTTGTCCCCAGGGCTGAGCAGATACAGGAGAAGCAATGGGACCAGCAGGCAGGCTCAGGCCCCTGCAGCAACAGCTCTACCCTGAGCAGAACACACTGGTGACACAGAGAACTGAGAACTGGAAAAAGGGCATTTTCTTTCTCATTTTGCTCATCCTGAGTATTCTCTCCAAACCAGTGCAGTCTCCCATGTGCAGGGAGCCCATGTGGTGATGGGGCATCTGTCACTCTTACATTGGGTGGTACAGCATGAAGGGCTGGGCACTGACAAAACATCAAAGGCAAGTTAGAGCTGCCATACAAGCCCCAAAATCTTTGGCAGAGGGGCTGTGTCAGGCCTGTCCTGCTGCAGTTCCTGCCACAGCAGGGCTGTTTGTGGAGAGCTCAGCTCATTCCAGCACCCTGGCAGATGCACTTACTGACCACACAGGCCTCCTTTCCTCAGCAAGTACAAGTTGTACTTGTGGTCTAAATAGCTCAGGTGAGACCTCGTGATGGCCTGAGAGCCCTTGGGCCATCCTGGGGTAGTGCCACACAGGAAATGGAGCAGGAATGATTCCACAGAGCACACATCCAGAGCTGGAGGTAAAGTGCCCCAGGCTGTAAAGGAGTACAGCCACTGTTAAACTGTTTTACAGGCAGAAAGATCTATTTATTTTAAAAGGCACCATCTTCTGAGTACTTTCTGTCCCACGTTCATGTTTTGCAGTTCTCTTTTGCTTCAGTTTCAAGCTGGTTGCCTCAGTTTGTTGATGACTTGCCACATTCCATCAGACATGTTCATTTCCTCCTGCAGAAAGCAGCTTCAGGTGCTGTTCATCCCCCACCTCCATGCTGTAAACCAAATAAAGCCCTTTGGGAATGTCCCAGGAGAATCCTTAAACCAGGGCACACCACATATGTGTCAGCTGAGGGAAGCTTGTCACGTGGAGGAGGTGAAATATTCAGATATAATGATGCTGTGGCTCAAAGTTTCCCTGTTTTCTCACTCAGGACACTTCTTACCAGGCCTCAGATGTCTGCAAGGATCTGATCTTGTTTTGTGTTTCAGGAAAAGTGCAAAGCAGAGAAGGAAATTCAGGAATGGGTCCAGAAATATGACACAGACATGACAGAAAAACAGGTGTTGGCTTTAAATGCTTTGCTCTGCCATAAAGTGATTTGCTTGGGTAGGTTCCTGTCCAAAGGGACACATGACTCTTACCCCGGAGACCATGGAAGTGAGAGGCAGTTCTGCATCCAGGCAAATCTACAGGAAAGGGGTCTTTGTCCTGCCTGTGTGTCCAGGAGTCCTCTGCAGCTTTGGCTTTAGGAAAAGTTACATCCACTAAATCCCACAGTATCTGGGGGCAAATGGGTCACCATGTTCTGTCTGGGATGTCCACCTGATGAAAAACCGGTTTTTCAGTTGTGCTCCAATCCTCAATCCTCATGGCCCTAGCTGGTGTCCAAATCCTGCTCCTGTTCCTGCTGAATCCTTGGGGGATGTGCTGGGTGTTAAGAAACCCAACAGCCTGCCCCCAACTGAGCCATAAGAGACTTAGGATCACATCAGCACCCCTAAAACCTGCCTCTAGGAAGGCCCTGGGGGCTTTCCTGTTCCTGCAGTATTATATGGAGTTGGATAAAAGCTGCTGGATTCCTTACAGAGCAAAATATAGGGAGGGGCCTGAAAGCTGCTACTAATTGTAAGGAATGGTCCCCTGTCAGATGCTTAATAATGGGATTATTTTGGTTTCCTGTCCCTGGAGAGGCAGGAGCCCCATATTTGGGGCAGAATTTGTCAAGGCAGACCCACCCCCACACTGACAAAACATCAAACCCAAGTTAGAACTGCAATACAAGCCCCAAAATCTTTGGCAGAGGGGCTGTGTCAGGCCTGTCCTGCTGCAGTTCCTGCCACAGCAGGGCTGTTTGTGGGGAGCTCAGCTCACGCCACCACCCCAGCAGATGCATTGCTGGTTCTCCAAATCTTGCATTGTGTATGGGAGCATTTTTCAGGGGAGCATCAAGGGACCCAGCATGTAATGAAACTCCCTGGGTACTGGGCACATGCCTTCCTTTTGAATCCCTTTGGACCTAGCTGAGGTTCCATGGCTTTGGGAGGGGTTTCAGGACCCTCTTCTGGGGATGTGGGGAGGAGCTGCTGACCAGCTGTCCCTGATCCCTGCTGTCCTGCCAGACCACATATGAGGAGGTCCAGGCTGTCTACAAGGAGGAGAAGGAGCAGCTGTCCCTACTGATGGAGAAACACGCCATGCTGCTCCAGGAGTACACCCAGATTGAGGAGGAGCGCAAGATGCTCAAGGAGAAGGAGGAGGAAGCTGCAAAGGAAGAGGCCAGGAGGAACAATGCTGCCACCTGCATCCAGGCCTTCTGGAAAGGCTACTTGGTGCGGTCCATCTACAAGTCAAAACTGAAGAAGGGAAAGGGCAAGGGCAAAGGCAAAGGCAAAAAATAAAGCCCCAAATCCCTTTTCTCTCCCTGGCAAAGCTGCTGTGTCTGAGCTCTTCCAGATAAAAACATTGATAATTGTTCAGGTTGGAAAAGACTTTTAAGATCATCCAGTCAAGCCACTACCACCATGTTCACCACTAACCCTTGTCCTCAAGTGTCACATCCACATGTTTTATCAACGCTTCCAGGGATGGTGACTCTACCACTTCCCTTGGCAGTCTGTCCCAGGGCTTTAGGACCCTTTCCAGGAAAAAAGTTTTGTTAATATTTAATATAAACATCCCCTTGCACAACTTGATGCCATTTCCCCTTATCCTGTCACATCCTGCTTGTGTGGATTTGACAGCCCACTCCTGACTTTAGGGCCCTTCCTTGCAGCCTCCCTTCCCGGGAGAGAGCAGTAGCACTGGTGAGGCCCCTCTCTCCTCAGACATGGCCAAGGAAGGTGTGTTCCCTTCTTGGCAGCCACAAGAGATACTGGGATCCATGAGACTTTGAGAAGTTGGCAGCCATGTGGATAGTTTGGGGTGTAGTTACATCAAGAGGAACATTCCCTGTCCTTCAGTCCAGATAGACTTCAGTTCCTAAAAACCTACAACCTCCAGGGAGACCTTAAAGGCCCTTCCAGTGCCTAAAGGGGCTCCAGGAGAATGGGAGAGGGACTGGGGACAAGTGGGAATGGCTTCCCACTGCCAGAGGGCAGGGATGGATGGGATATTGGGAATTAGGAATTGTTCCCTGGCAGGGTGGGCAGGCCCTGGCACAGGGTGCCCAGAGCAGCTGTGGCTGCCCCTGGATCCCTGGCAGTGCCCAAGGCCAGGGTGGACACTGGGGCTTGGAGCAGCCTGGGACAGTGGGAGGGGTCCATGCTCATGGCAGGGAGTGGAAATGGGATGGGCTTGAAGGTCCCTTCCACCTTAGCCCATCCCATGGCTCTCTGAAAAGCAGCCTTTGGAGTCCAAAGCCCTCTCAGGCTATTTCAGACCCAGGAATGGCCCCACAGGCTGCCTCAGTGTCTGTGGTGCACCTGCCTGAAGGACTTTGGGACGAATGGCTCACCCAGCTGCAGAGGGGCAGGAGCTGAGCCCAGAGCAGCGCACGGAGTGTCCTTCACCCTCGGAGCTGCCCAGCCCGGATCCTGAGGCTTGGAGCCCAGTGCCCTCTCTGGAGAATTCCCAGGGCTGGTGGAGCCTCCTGAGCCCCTGGCATGGCTGTGACAGCGTGTGAAGGTGATGGCTGAGGATAATGGGATCAGGGGGATCAGAGAGGATCAGGGAGATGAGTGAGATGTGATCTATGATGGGGAGGGGGGGAGAATGAAGATGAGAGGATAAAGAAGGAGGAAGGAGAAAGGGAAAAGAGAATGAAGAAAGGAAAAAAAGGCTGGGAAGAGAAAGGGAAAGGGAAGAACCCTCAGCAGACAGGGGAACACCTGGCCGAGTGGCACCTGCTACAGGCCTCCACACTGCCCTGTGGATGGGCACCTCCTCAGGCACAAAATCCAGGCCCGTGTGCTGCCGGAGGGAGCAGGTGAGCGGGACAGTAAGATGGGGCTTCTCCCCCTAGCAGGGCAGGCGGCACCCAGGAGGATTTTTACGGGAAGATTTATACGGAACAGTTTTCACCGTCTCCCCCGCCCCAGCCCCCCGGCATGAAATGGCGGCGGGGGGCCAAAATGGCGGGGGCGGGCTGAGGGCGGCTCGCGCCGTTCCCGCCCCGCCGCCGGGGGGCGCGCGCCGGCGCTGCCCTCCCCGCGGGAAGGCGGCCGCGCTCTGCGGCGGCGGCGGCACCCGCGGGCTGGTCTCGCTCCTCAGCGCCGTCCCCTGCCTGGCCTGCCACGAGCTGCCGGCCATGAGCGCCGAGCCGGGCGGCCGCGGCGGCGGGGGCCCGGCGGGGGGACCGCCCGCCTCCCTGCCGGGCTCCGACACCTACAAGGGGTGGCTCTTCAAGTGGACCAACTACCTGAAGGGCTACCAGCGTCGCTGGTTCGTGCTCAGCAATGGGCTGCTCAGCTACTACAGGTACCGGGGCCGGGCAGGGAGGGGAGCACGGACCGCGGGGGCTGCGCTGTTGTGCGGCGAAAATCGCCTCGTATTGCTTAGTTTGGGTTTTTTTTCCCCTTTTAAAGCCAAACTCGGGCTTGGATCCTGCAGAACCGCGGGGGTTCGGCGGGAGCAGCGGGGCCCCGGGATGATGGAGTGCCCTGGATCTCCCATCCCTCTCTCTCCCCATCCCTCCGCTCCTGGTGCAGCAGCTCCGGCTGCTACAGCTGCCCAAATCACAGCCTTCCATCCGAGCACCCCAAACCCTCCTCCCCTGGCTGTGTGAGCTGCTCCTGCTGCCGCCGTACCCCGCCGGAGCCTGCGGCTCCTTCCCGCAGCATGCCCGGGCTGCGGGCGCTGCGGCGGCGGCGGAAGGCTGGCCTGGGATGCTGTGCTGGGAATGCCGGGCTGGGGCAGCCAGCCCCGGCTGGGGCTGCGCTCCTGGGGCACGGAATGAAGCTCCAGCAGCAGTTCCGAGCCGTGCCTGGCTCCCGGCGCGGTCTGGCGCTGGCTTTGTGCAGACGGGCTGTGGGCTCAGCGAGGAGCGTGTCAGACACCCCCAGGCTGAATCCAAAGCGGTGTCATCTTTGTAGCTGCTCTTGTGCTGCTTGTCTCACTTGAGTGGTGAAAACACAAGTGTGGATGTTGGTGTTTTTATCCTCCAGGAAGGTGGCCCTGTATATGGCAGGGGGTGGAATGACAGGAGCTTTAAGGTCCCTTCCCACCCAGACCGTTCAGGGATTCTGTGATTTGGACCTTGTTTATTCTTGTCACTTGGTACACAAGTGCTCGGTCACCCTCAGTGATGTGCAGCAAATGCTGGCTGTACTTCAGGACATGGAAACAATCCTGACTATTAGGGATGGTTAAGCTTTATAAAATAGTAAGTCTTTAAAGTGCCAAACCCCCTGAGACAGGAATTCTCTGTAAAGGTTATGCCAAAGCTGTTTTTCCTCCCGACATAAAGTTCATCAGCTGATTTCCTCTCGGCTCCAGCTGCTGACACGTAGCCTGAAGCAGATTGCAGAGCTCCAGCTCCCTGTCAGATGTGAATATAAACTCTTCCAGCTCTAAGAGACTTGGTACCTGGGTGCTGGGGTCAGACTACAGCAGGTAACAGTGCAGAAGATAAATGATGTGTTTATCTACTTGGAGTTGTTGAAAACCCTCAAAGAACTTAAGCCAAACAACCTCCCCCCCAAAAAAATGTAATTACCTCTCAGTAATTCAGCTAATTTACTGTAATCCTTTCTGGAATGCCTTAACTCTGCCCAAAAAGGCTGTTGGAGTTTAACACCCCATTTGTAACCATGTCAGAATATTATTTTTGCATGTTGATGCCAAGTCTGTCATGAGTGAACAAGTGGTTTTCTTCAACAATTATTTTGGATGGGAACAACCAGGTTTATTTTGAGACCATTTGATCTGTTTTAGGCTGAAACAACAAACAGAAACACCCAAGGAAATTATTCTGAGCAGCATGTGAAGGAGTTGAAACTTTGTGAAGCTTTCAGGCAGGGCAGACCTTCAGCAGCTGCTTGGGGAGAAGGATGCTGGAGGATTTTGTGCTTCTTTTCATCTCTGGGCTTGATGACAACTGAATTAATTTGGTTGTGAGTCAGGAGTACAAAAATACAGTGCAGAACACGTGGTGAAGTCTGTCTTAGGTGGAGAAAAGCCTCCATGATACTCTTCAAAACCAGCGCTCTGAAACAGTGGCTGTGTCAGCTTGAATTGCTCATCTGGGAGCACTCCTGGGAGACAGTCTGGGGTAAAAACTGGCAGTTCTGTTTTGATAGGAATTCTAGCTCCATGACAGGAGCCAGGCAGGTGTCAGGCTGCTGCCTGTTCACTGAGAAAGAGCATATATCTATATTTGTCTATGTATATATATTCTGTAGAGGTCTCTGGCATTCTGAGAGTCACGGGTCCTGCTTTCTGCTGGCTCTTTGTGCTCATCCCACCTCAGCAGGTCCGCACCAGAAGTCTCCTTTCCTGCCCTTGCAGATGAATTGCTGTGCTCTTCTTGTGTTGCCACCTTTGTAGCTGCACAGCCCACCTGATTTAGCTGTGGCTGCTCAGGAGTAACTTTGTAGAAACTTCATTTTGCTTGTCTGCTAAAAGCATCTGGGAAAGCTGCCCCGTGGTGCCCAAGCCGCCTCCTTGTGTGGATTGATTTCGCTCCAGGTTGAAGCTTTTTGTTCCATTTGGATTTCCTGCCTCTCGCTCTTTAGCTTTAAGCCCCAGCCTGTCACGTTGCCTGGAGGATTTTGGTTTGCAGAGTTGAGCTGCTGAAATCCCGGGTGTCCCCTTGGTGTCCCTGGAGGTGCTGGTGTGTGGGTGGGTGCTGTGCCATCCTTTGGAGCTGTTCTGAGGGGTTTGCTCCAGCAGCCAAGTGCGACGCCTGTTTGCTGCCCAGTTGGTTTCACAGGGACAGTTTGCTGAATTAAAGCTTCTAATTACAACGTTTTTCCCAAATGGAGCATTTAAAGCCTCCTGTAGCTTTGCTACATCGATGAAGACATCAAGTCTTGCTGCCAGGGAAACTTCATGTGCCTTTGCTTTGTATTCCCTGCTCTGAACTGTGAAAAGTAACAACTGCTGAGGAATTCTTGAGGAGTGCCTGTGCAGTACCCTCCTCTGGAGGGAGGTGTGTGGGTTTAGGGAGTTCCTAAATCCACAGCAATATGGTTGGACCATTTTACTTGCCCTTGATTGGTCCTCCTGGGTTGTTTTTGACAAAGTTTTCTGGCTGATTCAGTGATGCCAGCGTGGGAAGGCAGTTTGGGGATGCAGGACTAGTCTGCTTGACTTGCTAATGATCCAAACTCTCTCTCTGAACTCCTCTTGCAGGCTGCCACTCAGATTTATCATTATCTATAATTAGCGGCTCTGTATGGGAGAATCTAATCACCTTGAACAGATAAGTGTTTTCAAGGAGATTAGAGAGGATCTTCAGGTGAGTATTAATTAATCGAAGACTGGAGT